ACTTGATTTGTAGACCAGGCTGGCCTTTAACTCAGAGAGATCTGCCTGCCTCTGCCTTCTGAGTACTGGGATTCAAGGTGTGCATCACCACCTCCAAACCTTGGCTTTTGATCAAGATCTTTGATTTTTAATCTAGTTAAGGATGGTATTCACCAATATTTGAGAGGTAACTAGGATGTCAAACGATCATATACTAGGATGATCTTAAACAAAAAGATCCAAACTTCTGACTTTGCAGCTATCAACTTCATTTTAGCGCAATATTTCATCTATATTCTACTTTTAGTAACAAAACCATTGATCATTTCATTTTCTCAATTTTATGCTCATTAACAATTTGGGAAGTTAGGGTTCCTTCAAGATCATGGAAGGTGAAATAATTTGTCAAAGATTAAAAACCATTGACAGGGAAGAGGTAAATGGGCACAAGCCAGTCTCAGAACTCAGTTCCCTATCCTCTTAGGGACCTGGATACTCTCTATCAGGATTTGTCTTGGGCTAGTTATCTTTGGCTCCCATGACTCTCACTGTATGCTGTGGGTACTTTATCTTGAGTGGATGTTAAAAGAACTCTAGGCTTTTGAGTTACAATGCTTAGGGAAAACATAATTAGGTTTAGAGAGCTTCCAAAGGGTGATGGGTGAGGCCCCTTCCCTTTTTCTGCCAGGTAAGTACTCCAGCCTCCTATACTAGACCCCTCCTCAGAAAGCTTTTCTCCCCAATAAAAATCTACACTGTTGCCAGTCCCTAATCCCTTTTGTCTGTCTCTCTTTTTCACCAGGCAAGTACTCTTCCAACAGAGTTCTTTATTTCTCTGTAATTTTTGACCCACTCAAGGGTGTCCTCTCTGTCACCGGGATGTCAGAGCCCAGCAGACCAAACCCTTGCCAGGATGTGTGTTTTCCTTGCACAGACAGAGTTCTCACGGTTGAGTCATTGAAGCAAGGCACATTGTTGACTCCTCTCTTGTCATAGACTCCGGTTACTGTTTCCTAGAACTGGAGGAAAAGAAGGCGGCTCTTGCTTCAAACTTCTGAAGTAAAAACACAATTCATATTTTCTATTTTGAGAATGTGCCTCCTGCTTGCTTGCATATTTTGTTCTGGTTGATTCAAAGGGTAGAAGTCATTCACAGACTCGCTGGCCATGTATCAATCCAAAAAACAAACAAACAAACAACAACAACAACAAAAAACAACAAAAAACCCCAGCCTGGGCAGAATTAAGGGTGGAGGGTGGGTGGAAAGGGCTGAAGATGTTCCTGAAACAGATATTGATGACTTCCAGCATGGTGTTCATTTTTCTGGACTGGACTTCAGCCTGGCTGGGAAAGAGCTGTGACTCTCAGAGCCCTGAAGAAGATACGCTCTGTTTGTCATCTTCTCCAAAGGATTCAGTTGTTGCCGGAGTAGTGATAACCCCCTTTGGGTTCAGCACATTGCAATTAGGTAAGACAGAAGTCAATTATTAGTGGCAATAACAACGCTACTGGAGTGCCAACCTGCCCTGTAGTCTTGCTTGCATCATGGCGCCTCGAAAGACATTACTTCTTTTTATGACACTTGTAAAGGTGCACATGTTGGAGTAAGCGAACCAGTCTTCTTGTTTATTTGTCTTCCAAGTATGAAAAAAAAAGGCTATGGAAAATATTGGTATGTTTCTGAAATGAATTACTTTTCTATTTGTTGATAGTTAGAAAAGGAAATAATCGGGGTGAAACTTCCTTCTTTTTTCTAGAGTTAATAGAAAAATAGTTCTCTGTCTCTCTCTCTTACACACACACACACACACACATACACACACACACACACACACACACACTCCCACTGGAGCCTTTGTCAGGAAGGGTCTTGCAGGTGCTAGGAAGGTCCACCAGAGGGCAGAGTGGAGCTGTTTACGTCCGAAACCAGTGGGATCCCAGAAGCTAACAGGGTGAGTAGCAGTTGGTGTCCCCCCCTGGCTCCTAGAATAAGCTGCAGCTTTGGAGGTGAGTTGAAGTCATCTACTTCTCCATGCTCCTTTCCAAGTTTCACACTATGCATGAGCACCAGTCTGTACCAAAGAAGAGCTTCAAAACCAGTAGAACATTCTCTGCATGAACATCAGATTTCCATATACTGAACCATCCATTTTTTACACCTGCAATCCCAGGGCATAGGGCCCTTTGTGCTCATCCTAAAGGGGAAATCAGGAAAGCCTTGCCCTGTTCATTGTGTGTGTATGGGGGTCACCTAGAAGCTTTGGCCTAAATTACCTAGTTTAAAATCCTTCCTTCCTTCCTTCCTTCCTTCCTTCCTTCCTTCCTTCCTTCCTTTCTTTTTTCCTTCCTCTTTCCTTCCCTCCCCTCCCCTTCTTCCTTTCTCCCCCTCCTCTCTCTTTCTTCCTCTCTTTTTGGGTTTTGATTACAAGTGGTACAAGAGGAAAAGCAAATTCGCAAATTTTCTGGAGAAGCAACAGGAATTGTGTGGGTCAGTGCACCTGTGCATAAGTCTACATGCTTGCACGGAGCCCTGAGAAATCAAAACAACGGTAAGCTTTGACTTGTGCAAAGTTGCTCAGTGTAAGCACAGATTCACAGCAGGTAGAGCCAGGGAGAGTTCAGATACTATCCCAGTCTCTCCACAGTACATTCAGAGAGACCAAAGCTTGCACAGTTACCCAAGAGCATTCTGTGTATTAACCGCAGGCTTGATTCAGGTTGTCTCTTTGCTTGTGGTCTGCAGGGCTTCAGTGACATTCCCCAGTATGTCTCAAGGATGTGAGTCCATTGCTTGCTGGATTTTTTCACCTAGGTCAGGCAGCTCATAATGGACCATTCCAAAATGATGACATGGGGACCTAGGAGCCCAGTTGAGACTGGGCAAATGGTCCATTGATTGTCTCAGGGTGATTCCAGATGCTTCCTGTGGAGACCATTTTGGAAGGTTCTGGGTGGTTTTGTGTGAGCGAGAGGTGTGACTCAGGACAGATTCTGATGCCTCTTGTGGTCGCTCCGTTCACCTGGACTTGAGTCAGTCTAAGTTCAGTAAGGAGAGGGTTCCATTGATTATTTTCCGTTACAAATGTTTATTACCTAAATGCAGAGAATAAAGTGCCACTAGAAAGGACTGATTGCAGCCTCTCCTAAGATGCGTAGCCCTGGAGCAACAAGATCCCTCCTCTTGTGCCTAGGAAGGGCCTCACAGCTCCACACACTAGCATTTTCATCCTGGATGCTGGCTCCTCAAGACCATCTTCACTTTTCCTGCTTTGAGCATTTTTATGGTGGGAAAAGACAAATGTTAGATGAGAGTCACCCACCCGTAAGCAAAGGTCATGTGCCCCCTCACCCAGAGCCAAAACGTGGATTGTCTTTTTGAATTTTACAGTTCAAGAGGAGGGAAGGCACAGGCTGGCTGACCTTGGACCTGACAGACTAGCAGCAGTTCAGTCTCATCCTGCTGGCTGCATAGTACATCTTCTTTATTCAGAGCTCTTGGTCTTTGTCTTGGCTTCATCTGTTTTAGACCCATCTAGACGTTAGCTTCCGTGCCACAGGGAAAGGAGGAAAACTCCCCAGGGAAAGTGCATGGCAGGAGACAGGGAAGTATCACCTCTTCATTCCACTCCTCCATCCTGCCCCTGAGCTCCCTAGCTTGAGACAAGGGTACAAACAAAGCTCCCAACTGATTGTCAGTGATGGATTACCATCCTACTTCTAACTCTGACCCAAGGCCAGGACAGTAAAGTGCTAGGACAGAAGTGCCACTCCTGTGTTCTAGCCATGGGATGCAGGACTGGGACAGGCTTCATGCCATGGTTCTGTGCATATCCCTATCTTACAGCTCAGCTCATCCAAGTCCCTGTCGCTTTCCCTGGAGTGCCCTGGCAGTCTGGGATCATTCTGGCACTTCAGAGTTAGAAGGAAAGAGAAATATTTGTCTAACTTTCCTACATGTTAAAGCTGTGCAAAGCATCTTAAAAAAAAAAGACTTACAAAAATATAATGGGGTCATTTCCCCTAAACTTTCCATGTTATGATATATGAAATGTCAAAATATAATGAGCAGACTTTCTAAATATCACTCTCTTCCCACCCGCAAACAGAATAAATACGCAGCAGCAGCACTGGCGACTTCCTCAAACTGGATTCTTGCCTGGTGTTTGGGACCTGTTTCAGCCAGGTCCATCTTCCCATAATGCACCTACTTGCAGTTCCAAAGAGACTCTCCAAAAAAAAAAAAAAAATAGACATTTGGAAAGAAGTTCATGGGTTTGCACTCAGTCTCTCCCCATATTATTTCTTGAGATTATTACTTTTTTAAACAATAAAAAAGATTGCATATTGGAAATACAACGAGAAGACCATGATGGCCATAGAGCTGGCGCTGAATTGGGCTGGCACTGAAGCACAGAAGCAAGAGGAGCAAGCTTGGTGCCCTGTGGGGGTTCCTGGATTCTCCATCCTCAGGCTTCTGCAATTAGTCATTCTCCTCAGTCACTTCCTGTTGTTGGTCCACCTTTATCCATCTCCATGATCCACGCCCGTCTCACGGGACCCTCTGGAAGCAGAGGCGGAATGGCTTTTTGGCATGTGTCGACGGGGGTCAGTTTGAAGATAGACATGGCATTTGTAAGGGTGTGATGTGGGCACATACCACAGCGAGCTTATTAGTGACCATTTCTACTCTGGGAAAAGTTGTCCATCACATTGGGGACTTTAAAAGTTTAAGCAGTTACTAGGCTGATTTAAGAGACGCATCTTTTGTTCT